GCTGAAATGGACCCATAAAATTTGAATTGGATTAATTGGACTGGGGTTTTGCTAAAGCCCTCTAAGCCCCCAAAGCTTACAAAAATTTTCATGGAAACTAAAATTAGACCTGCGTTTTGCTGTGGGATTATTTTATATTTTTTAAATTATGTTTTAATTATGTGAGAAGTAAAATTTTTTTGTGAATTTTTAATAAATGACAAGATATAAATAAATATAAGTGTATTTATTTTTTAATATAAATTTTAACTTAATTATATATAAATATATTTTTATTAATTAAAATATTAAATAATATTTTTATTAATATAATACATATACAATAATAAACTAAGTCTTATAATTCATAACTCTAAAGCCGACTATATGAGAGGCCAAATAAAGAAATCATGTTTAGTCATAATTTTAAATTTTATTGTGCCACTCTTTTGTATTACAAATAATCTTTTCATCTATTTCTTTGACTTTCATAATATTTCTTATTCACACATCTTTTATAGTTTATCTCTAAAAGTTTTAGTCTACCTCTAGAAGCTTTATATATGTACATATATTTATATTTAATATATAAATAAATAAATAATCAAATATTTTTTTTATATATCCCAACAAAGGTTGGGATAGAGCATTCCAAATTTGATTTTGACTTGACTTAAAATTTTTAAAAATGTAAGATTTAACCCAGTCTTTATTATTTTTTCAAAAAATGTATTAATTAGATTATAACGAATCAAAACTTATTGGATTAAGTTGTTTTATTATCTTAATATTTATTAATTTTTTAAAAAATTATATAATAAATAAAATTTTAAAATGAAAAAAAAAAAGAAAAAGGCAAATGGGGTGATATGTGAATTTATTAATTAATATATTAAATAATTTTTTAATAAAAATATATAAATATAATATTTAATAAATAATATTATATATATAAGATCGAGATGTAATATTTAAAATTTTATTTTTATTCGAGTTTAATTTTAAAAAAAATTCAACCTAATTATCATAAATTAAAAGAAAATATATGAATTAGATCGAAAAGAATCCAAATTTACCATATATGAGTTAGTTTGTAATCTCAATTTCAATTGACATTTTTTATTAAAAAATTTATTTAATAAAAAAAGTAAAAAATTAAAAAAATGAAACCCAAAAAAAAAAGCTTTAAAAAACAAATAAATAAAATAAAATAAAACAAAATGAAAGATGTGTCACGTAGACATTCAAGATGAGATGAAACAACTTAAATCAATCTCTAATCCGATTACATTTAAAAAAAAAAAATCTTGATTTAATTTCGATTTTTTTTTAAATACACTTATATTAGATTGGTATGAATAAAAATTAATCAAATATTAATTATTTTATCATCTTTATTTTTGTTGATTTTTTTATAAAATTTATCTAATAAAATTTAAAATTAAAATAAATTTAATAAAAATAAATAATAATACATAAATAAAAATTAGTGAAAAGGATAGATGCCAGGTGGACATTATCCCTTTGCACCAATATTTACAAAATTAATAATATAAATGTCAATTTTATATTTGAGTTCCAATACATGCCTCCAAATATAATATATATTTGTTTAATTTAATAATTAATTCTTATAATGTTTAAAAAGGATAAAAATAAGTTGAATCTGAACATTGATGTTTCAATAGATGGATTAACGATAATTGGATAATAATTGACTTTTATTGTACGTAAACGCGTTTATGTACTTGCAAGCATGTGCCATTTTTTTAGGAAGAAGAGATAGATAATAGTGCTTCGTACAAGCATAAAAAACTTGTTCAATATTTTTCCACGTGGATGTTCAAAATTTTGAATGCTTTCTAATTCCTACAAGCATAAAAAACTTGTGTAATATTTTTCCACGTGGATGTTCAAAAGTGATAAGCTCTCGATTACGGGTTTAATTTAATCATTGTACTTAATTTGGTTAAGAATTAACGATAAAAGTCTATTCCTTAGAAAATTAAATGTTTTAATTTTTTAGTATTTTTAAAAAATTAAAAAGTAATAAAATTACACTTATACAAAAATAGATAATAAATATATTTGATGCATCACATTGAAGAATTTAAATTTTTTTTTAATTTTAAATTATTTAATTAAATAAAATATTATACAAATAAATTTTTTTAAATTCATAAGTTTCAAATGATAATTTCAATTACATATAATGATTTAAAAAATAATCAATTTGAAAATTTTAGACTTTATCCCTTGATGAAACAAAAAAAATGCAGAAAATTTGATCACAAGTACTTACATATGGTCAAGCAAGGACACCCAAAGAAGTGAATTGTGAGAAATCGGTTTGAACATTTAAAACCTCTTACTTTTGCTGGTAGCCCTTGTGCGATAGAAGTTTCTAAAGGCCAGCAAGGTGGTGGAATCAACTAGTTTCAACTTTGACATATTCATCCATTTCATTCGTCAGCAACGGTGGGGCAGGAGACAGCTACGTTCTTTGACTTTTCATTTGCATATGGTAACACAAGCAAATTACCTTTCCCCACTTGTTCACACATTACTCACCCGTGAAAATTTTTTATCGACAATCGTACGGTCCTTAAAATATTAAAATATTAATTTTAACAATTAAAGTTTAATCTTAAACGATCTTAATTATATAAAAAAAAATTCCGTATGCATGCCTAACAAAAAGGGGGGATGCCTTGGGGTCTGTTTGGACAAAGGAATTAGCGTCGTGGAGAACCTTAATTTTTGAGACAGCCCCTCTCCGGCCACTCATTAGCCCGAGCATCCAAACAGCTCCTTTTACCAAAAACTTTTTTTTTTTGTTTATTCAGCTGTTCAATTAGAAGCTTCCTTGTTTTAATTACCACGCGGTTTTGCTACGCTAAATTGATTTTTTGGCACACCCTAAATTAATTTTTAGGCATAATGAGAACTTTTCTTTGTTAAAATTTGACTTTGGGTGCTAATGATGGTTATTGATATTATTAAAAATAAATGTGTAGATCAAAAGTAGAAAATTTGATCCGTATGACAAGGACAACCTGGTGGGCGGTAGGATCTCTTGCCTATCGTCCTTTTTTCTTTCTTTCTTTTTTTTAATTGTGACGATGTATAATTTTGAGGACGAGGATGGATGAGTTTATATTTTATACAGAAAATTATGCATACAAGGAAAGATGGTAATTACAGTCAAATAATTTTTAATTACTTATATGTAATATATTTAGTTTATATTTTAGATAATTATTTTATATTATATTTTATTTATATTTAAAAATTTAGATAAAAATATAAGAAGAATTAATCAATTTTTTGATATAAAATAATTCGATTCTTTCAAAATATAAAAAATTATTTTTAATTTATAAGATTAAATTTATATTTTTTATTATACTATTAAAAATTATATTAATAATTTAAATTGTCTAAAATTTGAAGAAAGATAATAATTTTAACTAATAAATAAAATTATTCTATCATAATTTTGTATATATCAAATACAAGATAAGATGATATTATTTAATGTAATTTTATTTATAATATTATTTTATCTTATCTTATTATGATTTGGTATACTATAATTATGTTTAGTATATAAGATTATGATATGATAAGATAATATAATATTATGACTAAAATTAGATTAAATAATATTATCTTATTTTATGTTTGATGTATGTAAAGATAAAGATAGAATAATTTATTTATTTATCAAAATTATCCTTTTTCAAAGTTTATTTAATTTAATTATTGATATAATTTTTAAAGATATAATTAAACATGCAAGTTTAATCCAATAGATTAAAAATAATCCTCTTTACTTGAAAATGATTAAATAATCTTATGCCAGAGAAGATAGTAATTTTCTTTGCAATCCCTATTTTTTTTTTTAAATATAAATCGAATATGATATAAAATAATTATTATTTTATCTTATCAATAATCTTATATGTCAAACATAACTTAAACACATTCTTATTATATTAAAAAAATCTAAAAATCTAAAAATATCTTTCTTATTGAGAAAGTCTCATCAATAATTCAACTCTACGATCTTAAAATTCTTCTTACCATGGAGAAAAAGGCTCGTTTACAATTTGAGATTGTCTCTTACACAATGTGGGAAGAAAAAAATACGGAGGGAAGGAAAAAAAAAGAAAGAGACGAAAAAATTATTTTTTATTGTGTTTGGTACGAAAAGATAAAAAATAATAAAAAACGTTAAGAGTAAAATTATAAATAAAATGATTAATTTAAGTTAAATTAATATTTTAGTTTGAATTTGAAAAGAAACAACTTGTTTTCTTTTCCTTTGTTGCATCATACAATGGGGGCCCTTGCTCAAGAGAGAAAAATCCTATCCATGTCCATGTTTAGTTCGTGATAAAGGGATATGAATAAAAAAAGGCTGTTAGGACGTTTGATTTATCTTTGTTTTGTGTCAGGTATTGTGTGATGGGTTCGTTTTTTTCTTGCATTCAAATGGTCGACACAATGAGCAATGACAGGTCATATGCACGTGTAAATTCATTTATTGATTGAGAGTTAGCACACCATCTCCGGCACAGCCGGTGTATATCCCAGACCAAATAAAAAACCCGATTGTCTTATGAAAAGATTTTTCCAATAACATGAATTAAAACCATGACCTGAACAATTTTCAAATTTTTTGTCAATAACATCGTTATCTGTTAATAAAATGTTGATCTCTTAATTTCAATAAATAAAGTTTAAATTTTGATGGTATTAGGTATTTTAAAAAATTTCTTAAATTCAAATGTGTCATACCTCAAAAATATTAAGATCTTTTAATATAGTTGAGAAATATCAATTGTAAAATGCATGTATCAGTTATTCCCTGTCATCTGCTCATAGTCCAATTGTTAATGAAAAAAACATTTATGTCCTGTTATAAGTAGGAATCCATGAGTAAAACCAATTTCTCATTGGAGAATGCCACAAAAGAGATAGTCAGGTTTTCATACCTAGAGCCATACCGTTCATGGCTTTTCTTTTTCTTGTCTGCAGTATTTTTCTAATAAAGATTTTAGTTGTCCTTTTCTTTGAAGAAATATCAGACTAAACAGCAAAATCTATGTTCCCAAATTTTTATTTTTTCAACATAAATTAAAGTCTTCAACTATTAATTAAGCAAGCAAGCCATCCCATGTTTCAGTCCAATAGTAAGGCTTTGACTAAAAACTAATCTCTCCTCAATATAATATGTAAGGCCTATTACATTCTCAAAGTGGTAAGGAACACTAAAGAGGAGATTAAAAATGGAGGTGGAGAAGATGATTTCTTCAGGTAACAATGAAGAAGAAGAAGTTTTGCTTCCTGGTTTTCGATTTCATCCTACTGATGAAGAGCTTGTGGGGTTTTATCTTAAAAGGAAGGTGGAGATGAAACTCTTTAGTGTTGACATAATCAAACATGTTGATATCTACAAATATGATCCTTGGGATCTTCCAAGTATGATTCAATATTCATTTCTTTCTTCTTTACAGTGTCTGAAACATGTTCAAAATGAAAGTTTCATCGAGTTAACTATTATTCATTCGCTCTGATTGTTGAAGAAAATGGATAATTTCATGTATAATAAACTTTCTTCTTCTTAATTTGGTGGTTAATTGATGCTAACTAATAGCTGTTTGTGGATGGTGCAGAAGTTAGCAAAATTAGCACTGTTACAGAGAAGGTATGGTACTTCTTTTGTAGGAGAGGAAGAAAATATAGGAATAGCATAAGGCCAAACAGGGTTACAGGGTCAGGATTCTGGAAAGCTACTGGTATCGACAAGCCAATAAATTCTGTTGAAGGATTTCAGGATTGCATAGGCCTAAAGAAATCCTTGGTCTATTACCGGGGAAGTGCAGGGAAAGGCACCAAAACTGATTGGATGATGCATGAGTTTCGCCTTCCAGCTGGTCAAAATCCCAGTCTCTCAAATACTGAGAAGGACAACTTGCCAGAAGCTGTAAGATCCATTTCTTACCATAAACTTAATCAGTTAATCTCTCTTGAAAGCCTTCTATGTTTAAAGCTAATTAATAACAATTTTTAGTGCAAACTGCTAAGAACTTGACCCAGCAGACTTTTTTTATTTTACATAGGACGTCCCAACACGGGATAACGGAATATGTTGTAAGTACTGAGATTTAAATCCGAGACTTATTAGATGTCACTTCTTAAGTGAACTAATGCTTGGGTTAATACTAGCTATCATCTTCTTTAAAAAATTAAAATCTTATAGAAGCGATGAATTGATGATCAATATTGACTGGAATATTTTTTCTTCATGGGGTTGCAGGAAGTTTGGACACTTTGCAGAATCTTTAAGCGCGATGTTTCATGCAGAAAGTATGCATCAGATTGGCAAAATAAGAAGAACAATAATCCTTCCAAACAAAATACTACTGCTACCAGCTCCAGAACATGCAGTGTAGAGTCGGACAACAGCGTCAAGGTTGAGAGTTTTGGAGTTTTAGATGAGAAAGAGATTGAAAGGAAGCTTGTCAATGATCATTTCCTTGGAAGGAACCAGTTCTTTGCGGGAACAACTCAAGTTCTTCCATCATATTTAAGCTTTTCTAACCCAAACGGAGATGAATACTTTGGACAACAGAACTGGGATGAGCTTAGGCCAGTAGTTGACTACACCTTAGATACATCTCTGCTGTACAATGATTGGTAGATCTCTCTGACAAATATATACCAATAAATTTTTAGTTAGATGCTCTTGCTTTTTAATGTAATAAAACTAGATGAAGACTATAATCACACACAATAATGTCAAGGAGTTGATGGATCTTTTTTTGTTTTTTAATGCATTGGAATCAGTAGTAAATTATTGTGTTTAGGATTAAAAACTACCAATCTGCTTGGAGTTACTCCCAAAGGTGGAGCAGCTGTTGGAGTTGCTAGCTACTACAGTTGTCTCATCCTCTGATATTCTTTGCCCCCTTTTTTTTTTTTGGCTTTTTTTTTTCTTTGGCTGTAATAGTACTATACTCTTCTTTGTTGAAATTGTGAAGCTAATAGAAATTTAAATGCAATTGTCAGAAGGAAGGTTTTTCTTTTGTCAACATAAAGCAGTGGTGTCATTTGGAATGACAGCTTGTCTGCTTTTCCATTTTCCCAGCATTGACTCCATTTAGTCATGAAAGTCATCTTCCAACAATAATCTCTTTTCTTTCTTCCACGAACCAGAAAAACATTGCTAAATTTCTTAACTTATAAGGAAAATATATGAAAAAGCCATCAAATTTTCTCCAACTATGCATTAATCGAAGTCATTGAAACTCGTCTTTGATTCAATTAAACCACAAGGAAAAACGAATCAAGCATAATGTATAAACAGCCGGGAAATAGAAACGAAGAAAACCACACTCATTCCCACCTCACTGCACCACTTGTTAATTTTTTTATGCAATTACTTCATTTATTCAATCGATTTTTTTCTTTATTTTTTATATTAATAAAATTAATTCAATAAAATTTTTTAATAGAGCATGATATTCTATAGTAACAAAATATTCTATATAGTAAAGTAATAAGAAACACGAATAATAAATAAAAAAATATGAATAGAACAAAAGAGGGAAAGAAATAATAAAAAAAATTTATATAAAGCTAGATATAAATTTTTGTGAACAATTTTTGTGGGTTAAACTCTTTTTCAAAGAAATAGAGAATAGTGGTTATGGATGAGAAGGGTAAAATTTTTTTTTAATAATTTTGAATTTAATTTAATTTTATAATAAATATCGACATGACCCAATTTAATATTAAAATATTATTTTTTATAGTTAGAATTCAATTTACATATGATTAAACTTGCAATTGATATGATATGATTTGAAATTAATAAAATATTAAAAAATATTATTTAATATTATTTTGTTAATATAAAATATTATTTTAAAATATAAATATAAAATATTATTTTAAAATATAAATATAAAATATATAAAATTAAAAATAAATAATATATATATATACAGAGTCAAATTGAAATGGATTTCTGAAAAATTTAATCTAAACTTTTTGTAAAAAATTAGATCCAATCTGATTTAAAATTTAATTTAAAAAAAAATAAAAATCTTATAAAATCAGATTAAATCAAAACTCAACGGATATAAATTAGATTACCTACCTTAATAGCGGGAACGATTAAATATGCGGTGCTAATCAGCGATCTTTGGAAACTTCTTTGGGCCATCATCCAAGATTTCCATGTTCTTCCTCATCTTGGATAACCTCGTTGGATTTTGATGCCCATTTTGTTCATCAGTGAACTGAGCAGCTGTTCAGGCCGGTAACTCTTCTAAACTCTCACCTTCTTTTGCTAGCACCTAAAAACTCGGAGACAGAAGTAACGTGTGTTGTTCCTGAAACAGGATACACAAACGTTGTTAGAGCAGGGACATAACTTACCGGATGACAAACGTAAAGGTGGGTCTACTACGGTTCGATGCAATGCCCACAACCGCCGCCTCTATTAAAAAAGGCTCAGTCCAAAATGTTAAGCCCATTTAATTTTGGACCGATCTTTGGCAATTCTTTCTAAATCCGTGAATGGATATTTTGAATAACCAAAAGATATATATACGAAGTTCATGAATTTTAATAACTTAATAAAATTAAAAATTAAAAATTAAAATCAATAGATTGATAAAAGTAAATGAGAAAATCAATAGTATGTAAAAAATATTATTAAAAATATCATTATAATTCATATTTAATGAGTACTTATTTAATGATAAATATTATGTTAAAATTTTTATTAAAAATATTTATCTAAGAAATATCAAATTTTATTATTTTTTTCAAAATTTGTATACTTTATTTATGTAATAAGATTTTTTTAAATTTTTAAATTTTAATTTCTATTAAATTTTTTCAATAAAAGTTTTTTCAAATTTCACCTATATCTTTCTCACGAGAATAGGAATGAGTCTCACGCTTCCTTTATTTAGTCATAATAATTTGGTGCCAAAGAAATCTGCTGAGATTAAGTCTTATAATCAGTTTTTCATTCCTTGGTTCATTTTTTTTTTTGGTTTGTTTGTTTGTGTTGGTTCATTTTCTTGTGCAAAGACCACAAGGGAAGGAAACGCATCTGTTAAGAAGTAATAAAACATAGACCAGAAGATCTGAATGAAAGAACAGAAAGCCAGCAGCGCAAGATTATGACATCTGATATTGTCAATGTTGAAGAAAAAAATACATGTCTTGACTGATGAGATTGATGATTAATAGATGATCACATTTTTTTTCATAATTCCTTGGTGGCTGCCCTGTATCAATTTTTGTAGTCGTTTCTTTTATTTTCTCAAATGTTGATAATCAATCTACAATAAATACAAATTTTGCCACTTCCCCACCTGCAGAGAAAGACTAGCAATAGCAAATAGCGAGAGCCTAGAGAGCATAGTTTGAAGTTTGGTTTATGCAGTTTGCTCAATGTTGTGGATAGGGACCGCAATCAAGCCCGTCCCCGACGGGTTTTGACCCGACCCGATCTTATAGGGTTAGTTTTTTTTTTTTGAATTTTGGATTTCGGGTTGAGTAAATTAGGTGACAATCAGTGTCGGATCCGGTTCGGGTATTCTTAAAATCCGACCCGACCTGATATTATTAAAAAATTATTTTTTAATTAATTATTTATTTATATATATATTTATATAATGATATTTTTAAATATTTATATTTAAAAAATAATATTTTATTAATTTCGAGTCGGATCAGATACGATTTACATAAGATCAGATCAGATCGGATTCGGGTATTTAAAAAATTCGGATCGAGATCGAATTTAATAAAGCATAAAATCGAGTCGGATTTGGGGCGAGCAAAACCCGCCTCGAACCCGCCCCGATGCCATCCCTAGTTGTGAAGAATGGGAAGGCTGAGAGCATCTTTTTATAAATATGTTTCTTTTGAAAGTTGTAGTGGGGTTTTAATGCTTTGCATGGTTTAATGGAAACTGAAAATTAATCAAAAAAATGGAGGTGATGGTCATGGGATTCCCTTTGGGACAGAAAAACGAAAGAAGAGATGAGTGAAAGCAGTGTGACATTGGATCAAACAGCCTTTTTTTTTTTTTTTAAATTTTGAAGATGTGCTAAGTCCATTTCCGCCACTCTCTCTGATGCGTTTGCTTTGTGACGAGAGCATGATTTTTCTTGTTGGCCATGCTTTGTTTTTTGTACCAACCAAGGCAGGGCAATAAAGGTCGAAGAGGGCCCCCATGTTTTTTAAAGCTTCTATAAGCATCTTCTGAGAGATGTCTTTTCTTCTTTCTTCCAAAACATGATTTTTGATGGAATCGTGGCCCTTCAGCACTTTGTATGCACCATTTATTTTTTTTTTATATAAAAAAAAAAAAATCCCATTTGCCCTCATAACCAAACCAGCCGAATAACTAGGCTGCAAAATGAAAAACTGTTTGATTAGGAAAATTCTTACAAAAAAGGAAAAAAAAACCAATCAATCAACCAAATATACTTTGCTTCAACAAGTTAAAAGATGATGAGAGAGTTGTGGGATTTCTTCTGAAAGATTCAAAGTCCACTAATCAGTTGGAAAAACTCTATGATATTAAGTCAAACTCATCATGCCATTATATCAAGATCGACCCTCACTTCCTCCCATGCTTTAGTTTGCTTTACAACCTCCAAAGAGCAAAGAGCATATATAAATATGTAAACATTAAAGTTGTAGTTCAAAAAAGAGTGGCGATCGAGAAGAATGATTAAAGATAGTCCCGCTTTGTCCCCCTCACCGCACAAAAATAATACACCTTTGAAATCAATATATTCATCGTATTGCACGTGCAACACACGAACATGATCCACATACAAAAGACAAGACCAAATGATAATGTAACGAAAAGAAAAACAGAATTGGGATAAGGCATAAGAAAATTTTAGAGAAATTGGGATATTGGGTCATGTTATTTGAAAGCAAGCACAAGTAAGAAAAGAAAGTATATTGAGTCAAGAATGAGTTAAAAAAGCAGTCATACGAGGCATGCAAGAGAATCTTATCGTATCATAATTTTGCCTTAAGATTATAAACATTTTTGTCGGTTAAAAGCATAAAAAATTGAGGCCCCTAATCACTTTTGGCTAGTGGATAATGGACCTAATAGATTTTGCTTAAGCATCAAGGCAGCTCACTCTCTCTCAATGATGTTATCTCCGAATAAAAATTATTCCTCCCATATCAGATCATCAAAAGAGAAAACAAAAAGCTCTCAAAACCAAACAAAGTTTTCAACTTTGATAATAAATCTTAATTATTATATCAATGCACGACCTTATGACTTTGGGGTTTGTTGTCTAGATGTTAATAAGAGCCTTCAAAGGTCAGTGTCATCAAATTATTTTTTCTGATTTTGTTCATGTCAAGCTCCAGGCAGGATCTTACCTTTGTAATCAAGACTAAATCTTTGCTGACAATACTTCACTAGTACTATAATTTTTCTTCCTACTTTGTTTTTTCAATTATGGTTCGAGAGTAATTTAATCATATCTCTTTCCCATTATAAAATAGTATAATGAAAACAAGTGTTGATTGCATTGCTGTTAATTTAATCCTATTTCCTCCTAAGAAAAATGTTTATGTAATTTTGTGCCGGTTATGGTTTTTTTTTCATATAATAAAAGATCTTTTTTGTAAGGTAAATTATAGGCTATTGGCTGGTCATCATCTTTATCCATTTAGACTTTGATTTGAAAGTTTAATGAATTTAATCATAAAATGCACCTTTTGGATGCCATGAAAATACTCTTTCTAATCGGAGGTGTAAATGATATATTAATATTCGAAAATTATTCGTATTCAATTCGAATAAAACTTGAACTCAGTTTAATTATTATTGAGTTGAACTCAAACTTGAGTAGCTCAACTTATCGATTAAGTCAAATTCGAATATTTTTATATTTGATTCGAATAGTTTCTGAGTCTAATAGAGTTTTATATTTTAATATATTTTAATTAACAAAATATCTTGAATTCATGCTCGAATATAAATAATCTAGTTTTTATCGAATACAAAAATTAAGTTTATTTTTACATGTTTATCGAATTTAATCAAATCAGTTTGAATAGTTCGATTTTTTATATCGAATCGAACTTGAGTTAAGAAAAATAAAACTCAATCGAATTCAAATCGAATTTTGAATATTAAATTTTGAATCGAACTCAAGTTTAAGCTTAATACTATATCAACTTATATTCGATTGATTATACTTCTACTCTCAATATAGTTAAAAGGTTTTTTCTTTGCATTTTTTTAT